TTCAATATGTGCTGAGTGCATGAAAGAATGCAGATACCTATTCAAAACAGCAAGGCACTCTTCACAGCTTCTTTCACTTGCTATGCCTTAGCCATGCCACCAAGAAAGCGGCCAAGCGCAGCTGCAGCATCAACTGCAAAAGGCGAAGCCCGACTTGTGAAACCCACTACTTGCGAAGCCCTCCAACCTACTAGTGTCCGATCGCTACTAGTAGCGATGCCAGGAGCCCCTAGTAGCGAACCTTGTTCCTAGTAAGGCCAGGAGCCCCTAGTAGCGTCCTTGTTCCCAATACATACTCAGAATGTCTTCGGTTCGTATGTTAAGGTCTCGGCATCTCTCTTTTTGAAGCGATGACTGACTCCACTATATTACTTTATTGCAGTTGCTTGCACATCCATTCTAAGGAACTGGAATGATTCTGTAACGCACCATTCCAACAAGCTGGCTTCTATTTTCAATTCGACGTTGGACTCTGGTGAGGTCGGCGTACGGGCACATCGAAAGCTGAGGACCTTTGTGTTGACGCCGTTTTTTTCATTGGACTAAGTGGTTTAAACTGAGACAGAAGACTCGTGAGGTCGCTATTGAGGTTTCGGCGAGTTTCTATTAAGGTTTACTGATTGTATAGCATTGGCGAGCTTTGACAGATTGAGGAAACAGCTGAGTCACAGGCCTCAGGTGCGCACTGGTCGCAGACCCACTCGTTTGAAGAACACTGGTGTCCGCAGGCCTTGCCCTCAGGGCAAATGCTGGGCCGCGCACTGAGTGAAGCTGTCAGACCTGCGCTTCCGAGTCTGAGCTTGGTCGGCCTGGCCCAGGCGCTTTTTGGTGCCTGAAGAAGACGTGGAGAACGAACTTCAGAAAGACAGCAGCGTGATAGGCCAGGCCTCTGAAGACTCTCGTCTAGCTGGGGTGCTATCTCGAGAACTTTGTGTGCAGACTGTAGCTTTCAGGAGAAGGAACCAGAGCTGCAGTGCTTTTTCACGAGCCCTCCTTCGACACTGCTGCTGTACTTCTTGAACCTGGTGGAACTGAATCTTAGCCAAGCAAGGTACACCAAAGGCTCAAGTAAACTTGATTTGGCTAAGGAGCTGGTAGAGCAGAACAGTACAGGCTGGGATCACATGATGCATGCTGGGCAGACATCGACGAGTATCAAGTTCTGAAGGGCACTCAAAGCATAGCTGACTTGTTTGAGCATGGCAGCCACATGTTTAGTGCTAAATAGCATATGAGATTTCATTTCATGAGCCTTTGATGCCTGGTCGCAGACTTGGAAATGCTGTACTTTGTCACAGAGGCTGAGGATGGTCAGGCGCGGCGAGTGGCCAGCGGAGTGGTGGGTTCGATGCGCTCGAAATCCGCTCACAGGTGGAGTTCGAGCTTCCTGAGACCAACTTCAAACAAAGCCTATCACGTTATGCAGAGGCGAGTTCTCGGAAATGTCAGCAAGATGGTGCTTCTCTCTTGTTCACAACGACAACCACATGTATATACAGTATACATGTTTAAGTCACTTTTTGAGTCTATTATGATACATGCCATCGTGCCATACTACCAAGCTTTGCTACTAATGCAGGGTCGCAGCGCGCAATTCAAGAACTTGAAACACAACTTGATCATGTTTTCTCAGCATCAGAACTTCCAACGCCATTTGCAGAGTTTGCTTTCTTGATTGACAGGTTCTAGTTCCGGCTCGTGCAGAATTTGCACTCAGGCAATGTAGTGTGCATGTGCAGCGATTGCACACATTTGCTTGCATGTAGCAAGATTGCTGGGCAGGAACAACAGCTCAACCACTCGAGCAAAGCTGCATGCCGTCGTGCCTCGCTAGGCAGTATTCCCTAGCATTCAACTAAGTCTCACTCCACCCAGACGGCCCAGACGCGGGCTCTGTATTTATGCCAAATTGAGCTTTGATTGACTTTCCCATGGGCGTGGAGCACTTTGCCTTTCAAGTAAATCGGCCCTGTAATACACTCCAAGTGGTTGCTCCAATGTTGCTGGGGAGGTCCAAAAGTTAATGACCACACGTTAGTGCGAAGAAAAGGGTTTGAGAGGCATGCTGTCAGACTACATTGAATTGTGCACAATCTGTCAGGTAACCTTTCGGATATGGGAATCCCCTCACGTTCACGTGATCCTTGCCGATGAAGTTCACACAAAGAAAAACAAGCATAAAGCATGGTCGCGATCAATAGAACCGTTTGCCATTTGGCCTTTGAGATCTCTTCGTGGTCATTTTGAGCCATTCGAATGGAGATCTCGCGCAGCCAAGGCACAGCTGGCACACCATGCTTTGCACACATTCTTCTTCTGAACTAGACGCTTCCCACTGCCCACTACAATGTTTTTTGTAAAGGCATGGCGATAAGCATATGGCGAAGTCCATGCAAAGTTCATGGACCGGTTCAAAGGACGCTGTCTCCACAGCCTTGGCATGCAGCCTATCAATTCCAAGTCTCGTTGTTGAAAGAATCCTGATAGAAGGTCTATTCTTGTGGAACTGGCAGCAGTTCTTTTTCGATTCAGACTTTGGGGTTCCGAGATATTCTAGTCCAGGAGCCCTTGCACAACTTCCAGCACACGCCCGGTGTCGACAGGCCCAAAGGGCACGGGAGGAAAGCTTTTGCTTCTTCCCTTTTGCTCTCTTCTGTTTCTTTTCGTACAGTGAGGTTACGGAGTGCCTCTTGCCCAAGCTTATGCTTTTGCGCTCGGGCTACAAAGCTTAAGCCCAAAGCTGAATGTGTGAAGCTATGTCACTTTTGCAAAGCACTTGCTTCACCAGGTGTTGAATGCGCGTCATACTGCACTTGCTCTTCCAAGGGCCTCGTCGTGTGGAGCGATGTGTTTTTGGCGAAGGCGACCGCTAAGTACTAGTGATGAGAAACATGTGCTCAATCATGCATCATGCAACTAGATCTGCAAGCTGTGGGTTGACCCTGGTTTGCGCAGCTTTTCTTCAAGGATTAAGCGCGCACTGCTGCTGCTTCTATATTTTTTTCGCAATGGCCTACTCCTCCAGTGGTCGCTTGGCATTTGCCGCAGTCAC